CAGGATAAAATGAAGTTAGAGGAGTCAGGCTGGAAAAATGGGAAGACTTTGGCAATAGGAATTTCATTCTGCATTTTTAAGGACATGTCTGTATTAAACTTCTGAAGCTGAAGAGTAAACGTTTGTTATGCTTTATTCTTTCAGCACAGAAGGCAGATATTTTGCTTTTTGTGGCCCTTAAAGTGATCATGGTCACCATACCAGTTTTTACAAAAGGTACTAACCTGCAGCCAGTGTCCAAATGAACTAGTATTGTATTTTTGTTACTAGGAGACTTGCATTTCAGAGGTGGAATTCTAACTTTTAATACACACGCCTGTAAACTTTGGAAATTTTGTAACACTAAATGTCTTTGAACTTATTTTTAATGACATTAATCCCACCATAGCTTATTAGTGAAACTTGCTTCTCTTTCTTAATATGTTTGTTTTTAGTATGATTTTAGCAGTAAACCTTAGCTCATGCTATTAGACATGACAAGAATGTTCTCATGTTTGAAGTGAGACAAGAGATAAAATACTTGGAAATTACCAAGTCTAGGATCTGTGCCCCTCTACTATGTCTTTAAAAAAATGCTGTCTGTATGCTTGGATCAGCTGAGAAACCTTGCTCTGGACCTGTAAGTTCTTACTGGCCCAAGAAGCTGACAAGTTCAAATTCTACCTGTAATTATTGGAGTAAGGCATCTTGGAATCTGTAATTTAGAAATAAGGGGTTGTAGGAAAACAACAGGTGATGCATAGGCCTTGGAGCTGTGAAGCTGAAAGTTATATTGTATTAGGACATAAAGATGAGGTACTCGTTCCAGCGGGTGGCTTGAGATGCTGTAAATCTGGTGAGGTTTATTATGGTTTTTAGGTAAAAGCAGGGTTAACTTTCAGATTTTACAGAAGACCTCTTTCAGCATACGCATCATTTTCCTTAGAGGGGTATCTAAAAAAATATCAATTTCAGTAAAATCAAACCTACTGTTTCCTAACATGATGTGTTCCCTTGCAAATGAGGTTTGCCATGATGTGTGTCCCCAAGTAATGGAAAGGAAGGAATAACATTTCCTTCTGTCCTTCAAGGCTTCTTCTAAAGTTTTGGCAAAAGCTTTACCTCCTTTTGTTTTGTTTGACTATTTGAATTGCAGAACTTGAGTGTAGGGTTGAAAGATTGGATGGCATTGAACAGTCATACTGCTACATCAAGTTGTGTATATATTGTGTGGAAACTTCAGGGGTAACTTTTCTTCATACAATATAGCTGTTTCTGAAGCTATAGTGAAGTCTGGGTGCTCTGGTCCAAAGCTACAGAGGAGATGTTGCAACTCGGGTCACCAGCAAGTCTGATCTATTTGGGCGAGGAAGCACACTGATGGTCAGTTCAAGACCAACCTGTGCACCATCCTGCCAACAGCACTTTGCCAGGATAGAGATCTCACTGATGTAAAGGCTGTGACTTAATGCTGAGGTTTTAATTCACCTGTAGCAATTTACCTTGCTCTTGTCAGTTGTGGACAGCCTGGGCACTGAGAAATCTGATTTGTACACTCCTCTCTCTTAAGTTTAGTAATTGGGATGCTGAGTGCAGTGTAACTACTGTGGAGCAGATTTGACCTTTGAGAATTGTTTTTTTTGTGTGTGAATCACAAAAAAAAACCCTTTTCACATGAAATAGAATTTCCTATTTTCTCTGGGTGTTTGTGTGTAATAGCAGCTGTAACATAACTGTGTTTTACTCCTCGTCTTTCTATACATTTAATATCATAGCTTAGTTTAATGACTAAGTCCAAGTTGCTGCTTTCATAAGTATGCTTTTGTAGTTCAAGTATTCTTATGTATTGAAACTTTATTCCTGTTGAGGTAATATATTAATAATTACCTTTCTGTTTTTCTGCACATGAATAAATCAGAAAAAAATAATAGTAGCGTATAGCATTATTCATCTATTGCTCTATTTCCTGATTATGTTAACTAGTAACTAATTGGAAGTAGGAGATTATTTGAGTCTAGGAAGTTAGTGAGATGGTGCTATCATTCTGTTTTCATGTCTTCAATGGTGAAATTCAGATTGGAAGCCAGCCAAAGGATAGTGATGTAATGTCAAATGCAGTGGAATTTATTGCTTATAAAGAATATTTCTACATAGTGAACTGCATGAGAAAATAAAAATCAAAATTAATTTCTTTTTCATGGTGGTGTTTTTAATGGTGACATTCTGACCTAAATACAGAGGGTTACTTTAGGGGGAGGGAAGGGAAAATTAATGCAGTGTGAATGAGCAACACCTTGAGTTTAAAAGAACCTAGAAGAGGCTGTATTTCTAGAGGCACCAGGGTACATAGAAATTAAGAGATGCTTAATTAGAGAAGTTAAATATTTCTGTCATCATGGAGGAGAGAACTGAACATTTGCTGGTTATGCTTTCAGCTAGCTAGCAAGGGGTTGGCCTTTTGTTATAAACTTTTATACGGCAGTGAAGTATTTTATATTAGTTACTCCGAAATGTTTTGACTAAAATGCACTCTAAGCTGCTTGATTTTGGTGGATTAGTAAGAGAGTAATGGTCAATTTTTACAAATACTGCAGTTGTCATAGAGTTGCAGATTTGTAACCATGTCCTCTCTTGCTTCCTTGGAGAGTTCAAATAGTACCAGACTTTCAGAAATAAAAAGTTTCTGCTCTCCTGGATTGTAGACATTGAATTAATTTTCTTGCTTTGTATTGCAATGCTGACTTGTGATCATAGTCCAAGATTGTGGGTGTGTAATGCATGCAGAGTATTTTCTCCAGCAGAGGCAAATAGTCACTCATGGACCTTTGTTCTTTCTGGCTTTTGTTGCTCAGTCGTGAAAGTCTGTAGTCATTAGTACTGCATCAGGTTCGATTTCCAGAAATAAAAAGTACAAACAAGGTATGATTTACATTACACTTCAGCATTATGATACATTATTCTCACCTGTCTTTAACAAGTAGTTTATTGTAATTATAGAAACAAAATGGCAGAGTTGAATTTTAGGTGTATGTTTTCCAAAATAGATATTGATTTTATTCTTGTTTTTTGAAGGGGCTTACTCTGAATAATTTTTACCCATGTAAAAAGAAAAATAGCTACATAGGCAGTTGTATGTGAGAATAAAATGAGACAGTACTTGTTGCTGAGACTGACAAATAAAGCACTGAGAAGCATTTTCATTTACTTAGAGCTTGAGATTCAAATGCTGGGAAAGTAACGGACTATGAGGAGTGGTAACTTGTGTGGTACTGTAATAAGACTGTCACTGACTGCAAAAAATGAAGACATGTCTTGATCTTAGCTGGTCTTTTTAGAGTCAAGGAGAAAAGGCAGAAGAGAGCTACAAACAAATGGGTTGGGGTCAAGGAGGGGTATAACAGAATACTTGATCTTTAAAACTCTGTGTAACCTGGAGTGGAGCATGGAATAGCCTAGAAGTGGCTGTGACAATGCACCTATAACTTACTGTATATCCTGAAGGAGTATCTTTATTTTCTGCTATTCAGAGGTCAAAATAGATAATAGGATTTATCAGGTCTTGGCCTGTACTATCCTTGAAATTGTGGCAGGCTTCATGTGAGCCTTGGATGGCTCTATTACAAGATGGGTTTATCATAAAGCTGTATTGCCTATAGAAGTTGCATGGAAAAGCATCATGTTTCACTGTGTTTTGAGTATTTCAGTGAATGAGCTTTAGGATACAGAATCGCAGAATGGTTTGGGCTGGAAGGGATTTCTAAAGTCTAGATTTCCTTGCCTTGGCCTGGGACACCTTCTACTGGATCGGGTTGCTTAAACCCCATCCAACCTGGCCTTAAACACTGCCAGGGTGGGGTATTCACTGCTTCTCTGGGCATCCTATTTCAGTGTCTCACCCTCTCACAGTAAAGAATTTCCTCCTTATATCCAGTCCAAATCTATGCTTTTTAGTAAAGAATTTCCTCCTTATATCCAGTCTAAATCTATGCTTTTTTAATTTAAAACCATTGTCTCTTGTCCTGTCACTACAGTTGCTAGTAAAAAGTCTTCATCTTTCTTATAAGCTCCCTGTATAAATGGAAAAACTGCAGTAAGATTAAGTTGGTCCTGACTTGTTACAATTCTCTTGTTAATGGGCTAATTTTTCAGTTGTGCTACCATCTTTGTCATTTTTTTAATATCTTCTTAATCTTGTTGCTATGATGGATAAGACATGTTAAAATCGTGAACATATTTTTATGGACTTGTGTAAAAATGAATCTTCTCTGCTTGAGGTTTTCAATGGTCCTTTCTGGGTGACTCTTTTCCTACTCTGTCATTTCATAAGGTTGATGAATTGATAACATGTCCCAAAATTCTATGTTCTATGTCCCAAAATTTCTGTGCTTAAGACTCTTGAGAGTGGTGCACGTTCTTAGTTTCTGATTTTTTCTTTCACAATTTATACAATCTTCTCCACTAGTAGTTCTTTCTTCCTGCCATTATTGGCTGCATGTTCTCTTGCTGGTAAAAGGACATTGAAGGAAGTGGTGTTCTTTTGCTTAGCAAAGAAATGAATGTAAGCATGCATTTACCAGATAGAAAAAAATCTCTTGCTTCCAAAATACCTTGGACTTTCAAGTTACCTGTACCAGAATCTCAAGTCTGAAAGAGTTATTGATAACCAAAGGAAAAGTTATTTGTAGTATCTGGTGGTTAATCTTTGGTATCCGTCAGGATGTTTGTTAAACAATCAGCTACCACAGAACCCAGAGTTGTTTGGAAATACTGAAGTTTTAATGTTAGCATTAGGGTTTTATTGTCAGCTGCACTGACCTAAGTACCTACAGCTTTCAGACAGCTCTGGGCACTAACCATCCCATTCTGTAGTGGATTGCTGAATTGCAGAATTATGTTCCGTGGTTTTGGTGTTTCAGATCTCATGAGGGATTTCTTATCTGTGTAAATGATAATATTTCAATGAAATAATTAATTTTGTATCTTTAACATATAAGTTTTATATTTTCTTTTCCTTTTACAGGTTATCTTCCTGGGAAACATCACTTTTTGTATGTAAAGAATATCTCACTGCATTGCTGCAACTGAGTTTAGAATGTTACTTGACTTGTGATTCTGATGGAGGAATAACCACATCTCAGGCTGCTGCACTGGAAGACTTTACAGGAAATACAAAATGTCATCGAATAGGAGTCAGAACCCACATGGACTTAAACAGATTGGTCTTGACCAGATATGGGATGACCTAAGAGCTGGAATTCAACAGGTTTACACCAGACAAAGTATGGCAAAATCCAGATACATGGAACTCTACACGTATCCTAATGCCTATGGCAGTTAGTATGTTCACTGTTAGTAGATAGCTTTTTGCTTTTCTAAACTTGAAATTACTTCATAAATGTTTGACTTATTGGGTTTTAAGAATACGTATTTTTATTTTGAAGATTTGCCTTTTCTATTTACTATTACTGGCAAATAAGCAGGAACAGTCTGTTGTCAGGAAACTGTATTCCATAATTGACTACCTCTGTATTTCAGGTTTCATTACTATTGTCTTTGACAGAGGAGATGTTTGAAATTATTTTATCCATAGGTCTAATTTTGATTCCACAATACACACAAAAATCCCAGAAATTGTTTTTCCTTTATATGTTAGTCTCTGGCATTATGCTGCAGGTTTTACTGATAATAATGTCCAGTTACCTGGAAGTTTTTTTCAGTTGTCATCCTGAAACTAATACTTTACTCTTGAGTTGGTGTTATAATTTTTCAGCTGGGGTGAGAATGTGTCCAGTGGATTTCTCTTTAATTCCTGGCTTGCATCAGAGAGCTATTTTCCAGCATCTCCCCATTCTGGGAGTTGTTACAAGACACTAAAAGGGAGTTAACATTCTTGCACAAGTGTGATGAGGTACTGTTTGGAAGATTGTAGGAAACCTGTTTCTGCTAGGTAATGCATAAAGGTCTTTAAAACTAATTTGAAGGAGGCATGTGTCTCTTGCTGTATTATAGCTTCAGTGTTTGACTTCAGGACTTTATTTTGAAAGTGATAGTTCCTTTTATATTCTACCTGTAAAACAGCATCTGTTTTGCATCTGTTGTTCTTTTTTGACTCTTGTAACCTGTGTTGCTCAGTACGGTAAGCACTGCTTAAAAACTGGTGGTACAGCAAAGTCTGTAGACATACGGTAGAAATTATAGAAGAAGTGATGACTGAATACATTTCCTATGTTGTTTCCTCTGTATGTACATTTCCAAGCTGTTGTTGGTACTGATTTGTAATGGCAGCATATAAAAATTTCTGTCTGCGTTATTTTTTTTGAAAGGACAGAGCTTTCATAAAAGAAAGAGGAACTTGAAGGCTATAAAACACTTAATTCTGTAGTTCTCTGGACTTTCTAAGGAGCTAGAAAAGCTTTTTGGTACATATAATCTCAGCGTCAATGTGTAATCTTACCTCTCTGTGCCTGCTAAATCCATACTGCTGGGGGTGATAGGAAAAACCCTGAGCTGAGTGTTTCTAGGCTGTTTCTTTAATAGTGATGGGAAGATGAAATAACATTTTGTTTAGGGTCAGAACTTTATCTAGAACTTAAAACAATTTATTTCGTGCAGTACTAGGTTCAACATTATTCTTGACTCAATGAAACAAATTGCAAAACTTCAATGTCTGATAGACATTTGACCTGTAGTGGAACCTCTGAGAGAGTTTTTTCTTAATGCCTTTAGCATACTCTTGTGAGGTCTGTTAAGCAGGGCATCTGAAGACTAAGTGCTAATTATAATAGTAATGCTAAAACACTTGCTTTTTTCTGTTTTCCTCTCCTGGTGTTCTAAAGTGTTCTTGGAATGAAGCTGTAAAAGGGATATACTGTCTATTAACTATTAACTATTCATTTCCTTCATGTTGCTGCTTCAAGGAGTTGAGTTCAAAACTAAGGACTGTTTTTGTTACTTTCATAAGTGAATTGATTAGTGGATAATTTTGGTTGTTCACTTCCATTTGTGGATTAATATAATAGTTTGGTCATAGAATCATAAACCCATAGAATTTTAGGGGTTGGAATGGACCTTACAGATCATTTAGTCACAACCCTCCTTTCCATGGGCAAGGGACACCTCCCCACTAGACCAGAGTGCTCAAAGCCTCATCCAGTCTGGCCTTGAACACTGCCAGGGTTGGGGCAGCCACCACTTCCCTGGGCAGCCTGTTCCAGTGTCTCACCACCCTCGCAGTAAAAAACATTTTTCTAATATCTAACCTAAATTCCCCCTCCAGTTTGAACCCATTTCCCCTTGCCCTATCATTGCAGTTCCTAACAAAGAGTC